TTTCATCATCTCTTTCATCATCTCTTTCATCATCTCTTTCATCATCTCTTTCATCATCTCTTTCATCATCTCTTTCATAATCTCTTTCCTCATCTCTTTCATAATCTCTTTCCTCATCTCTTTCTTCATGTCTTCCATCGCCATTCTCTGCAGTGTCCACATCACTTTCCATATATAGCTCAACAGCGTTGGTCCACTTAGCCGCAGCACACATCTTTTGAAAATTCTCAATTCCTTCACACAAAATCTTTAGATCACTCAACTTTTCAAATGGCAATTTATACCACATTCTTCGCTGATACAGACTTATAGGTAGGTTTTGAAAAACTGTCTCAGGCGGTGTTATAACCTCTTGGATAGAACCACCATCGTAATAGACTGTCCCATCTTCTAACTTCTCAAATTTTCCCCCATGATATATGTTAAACATACAATCACTAGCACCCCTGAAAAAAAAAAGAAATAAAGTAATGCCTTCACCACGATTTTAATATTGCTCAGCATTAAACAAATGAAAACTAATAAAGAAATCAAAAGCAATAAACACTAAACAAGTAAAATCGAAATCTTAATTCTCTTGATTTACCTCATTTTTTACGAAATTTGGGCTCCCCCTAAGCACTCAACTTCGAATTCTGTTTTGATTTTTACACAGCTTCTATTTTGGCCAATGCTTCTTGCAGAATTGAAAGTGAAACCCTAATCCCCAATTTCAGGTTTTCCCTCGATGAAGAAGAAGACTATCCCGATTATCTGTTTTCAAAGAAAACGACAGCGTCTTGTTTATTTTTTTTGTTCTTCAAATCATAAAACGACGGCGTCTTGTTCTTTTCTTATTTGTTCTCCTAATCAATAAACAACGTCGTTTTACCTTATAATTTTTTTAATTCTCGATAATTCCTACACGACGACGTTTTGTCATTTGCCCAAACGGTATAGTGACGTGGATGCCACAGTGGCACTCGACACATCCCGTTTAAAAATAGACGGGGTTGACTAACGGAAACAAGGTCAAAGTACTGATCGGCCAAAAAAGACGAGTGAAGGTACCGATTTGCCAATATGTACGAGTTGAAGTATTATTTCGCACACCAAAATTTCTCGGGAACTAAACGGTACCAGAACTTGCAGTTCAGGTACTAATTAGCCGTTTTCCCCAAAGCAAGGAGATGTCGAAAAAGACTTGTCTCAGGACAAGGTCTTCTTCATTGGACTAAGCCACGTCCAACACCAATAGTCGAGCTAAACGACTTAAAACAGAAGCGCTTAATGGGAGGCAACCCATTTAGGTATTGTTTTCTTTAGGATTTTTCTTTCTTTTTCTATTGATCTTTTTATTTTTCTTAGTTTCAGGTGTTTCTTATAAAAAAAAACAAAAAACAAAAAAACCCAAAAAGACCAAAAAGAAGGATGGTCCCTGACTGCTCGGCCCAGCAGGAACCAAGGAGAAGCAGGAAGAGGCCGCGAGATAAGCCCCCGCGGTCGCAGGTGTTATGACCGCGGGAAACACCCCTTCGACCGCGGTCCCGTCTTTCTGACCGCGGCCGAGCACTGGTTTGCCGCGGTCGCGTGGCTCCTGACCGCGGCAAATGGTCGTTGAGATCAAACCCGACCCCAAGCCACCCACTTCACCTCATTCTACCTCACCAATCCCCACTCCACCTCATTCATCACTTTCCACCACCTTCATCACCACCTATCACCTTCCCAAACCTCTTCGAATGAATCCGGTTCATCTCCACCAGCATACCGGATCCAGGTAAGTTCTCTTTGGACTTACCAATTCGATTATCTATGCATTTTTCTCATCCAATCTCGACTTGTTTCACACTAAGGACAGTGTGATTTAAGTCTGGGGGAGGATTTCATCCCTTTCTAACTACTTTTTTTTCATGAGTCTTGCATTATCTACACTTTTTGCATTTTCCTTAAAGTTTTTCAAAATTGGTTTTCAAAACAAAATACGTTTTAAAGGAAATGGTGAACATGAATCAATGATAGTTGACTGTGTGCTTTTAGACTGTTCCTAGTGACATGCTCATTCATGATTTAGGACTAGACTAGGCGGTAGCTAAGAACATTTGAAACAAAGTACCCCAGAGGAATTTTAATGATTTCGATTTAGATGAAGGAATACACTAGCTCTGTTTTATTTGGAATTAATTTAGACTTAACTTTCTCATTGAAGCATTAGACCAGGGAAACGAATCATACATTCAGGACTCCTTTATCCTTTTATCACTCTCAGTTGATCCTGAATGGCTAGTTCATCTTTAGCTAGTTCCCCACCCTTAACCAATCCTCTTTCAAACCACATGCACTCTTGTTTTCTACTGTCTTATATGCAGATAAGTGCAAAAACGTTGGAGAGAAAGAGGAACGACGCAGTTTTCAGTCACCAATGACAGAGACCTGCGATTTGCCGGAAAAGTTCCCGGAAGGATTCAACACAAGAGGAAGCTCAGTTTGCCTTAGAAGAATCTCAAATTTTGGTACAATCTCGTCCTCTAGTCTCTTTCTTTAAAAGGCATTTCCTTTTCAAAAAAAAAAAATAAAAAAATAAAAAAATAAAAATAAAAATAAAAAAATCCGAAAATAAGAAAAGAAAGGAAATAAAAGCCTTAGAGAGTCTAGAGAGGTCGAGTTTTAAGTCCCAAGGCAAATGGAGTTCGATTTTATGGAGTTTTGGAGATCATTTTCTGATTCTCGGAAATAATCTAAGTCTTGGGGAATAGTTGTTCACAACAAAAGAGGAAGGACTATGCAACAGATCCTTATCTCTCTTGCGGTTTTGCATCTTATCTTGCATCCTCCAGATTCATCAGGTAACCCGAAACACTTTAACTCCACCACTTAAACAGCCCTTTTAATGCCAAACGCCGTCTACCCTGGATGATGTCTTTAGTGAGAACTCACTATTGAACTTAATGAATGTAGAGAGCTAGTTGATTGGAATCAAGATTTAGATTGTTTAAGTTTTGCATGACGGAAAAAGTGGACTAGTATCTCTTGTGCATTGGTGAGAATTTTCTAGACTAAGTTGTGGATTGATGCACTATATTTGGTCCTAGTTTAGGAGTTCATATTCAATGATTGAATCGATATGGCATCTTTATCTCGCTGCATATCTGGCCTTCTTGGATTGAAGAGTCAGCTGAATCTTCAACACATTCCTTTGCCATCATACAAGGTAATGATTCCTGCCAATCTGTTTCTTCATCTGAAACTTGGTTTTTCTTCTTCCTGAGTTGCTTTTTTAGGTGCTGGAGGTTGAAGTTGGGACAGAAGATGTATTATTTTCCTCTCAAAACCCGGAGGTGCTTCTGAGCGACCAACTCCCGCGGTCAGAGGCGTCGCGACCGCGGGAAAAGTGCCTTTGGCCGCGGTCATGATGCTCGGACCCGCGGCTCCGGATATGACTTGCTCATAGTCCGTTTTTTCCTTCTTGTACTTGACACGAACTTCTCCAGCTTCTTTATTGGGTACACCAGCATCATATGAACTCATACCAGGGCATTGTAGGGCATCTTCATCAGGATTTTTGGGAGATTTCTTAGAAA